GAGACCATAGAGGGAAGGAAACAAAAAGGAAGAAGGAAGGAAGGAAGAAAGAAAGAGGTATAAAGGAAGGACAGAGGGAAGGAAGGAGGGAGAGAATAGAAATAGTTTTACAGTGATTTACAGAGTCAGCCTCTTGCCCCCGACAATCGGGGTCCTCATTTTACCGACCTCGTAAAGATGGAAAGCAGAGCCCTCTTTGAGTCGGTCCGGCTCGAACTGCTGGCTGTGGGCACGAGGGGAGGGGATTGGCATGGATGATTTTTTTGGGGGGGGGGGGGGGCAGGGGTGGTGGTCTTCCCAACCCCCTTCCCCTTGCCAGAATCAAGCCCGGCCTGCTTGAGAACCCGCTAACTTGGATTGCAAAATAAAAGCTCACCCGCTCAATTCCGCCGATGCTACCTTGAACGCGGACGCTTGGGAAATCAAATGCGGCCCCCCCTCCCTTCTTCCCAGGGGCCCCCTCCTCTCTTCAAGCTGGTGAGTCTTTCCCTCTCTCTCTCCCCCCCCCAACCCCTCCCCAAAACCAGGACCACTCGGAGTTACCCATCGGAGCGGCGGCCACCATGGCTCACGAGATCGGCCACAATTTCGGCATGAGCCACGACCCGGAAGGCTGCTGCGTGGAGGCCACAGCATCGCAGGGCGGCTGCGTCATGGCTGCTGCCACAGGGTAAAGCGGCGGGGGTCGGGCGTGGTGGGGTGGGGGGGATGTCTCCCATTTGGGAAGGGGGGTGTTGTTCCGGATGGTTCTTGGATCCCCGGAGGGGTGTGGTTGCTTGGTGGAAAAAGTTAGCCAACGTGGATTGGGCTAGAAAACTTCCATTGTTGGAGCCTTCACAACTTCTGGTGGCAGGCAGTTCCACTGGTTAATTGTCCTCGCTGTCAAGAAATTCTTCCTTAGTTCCAGGTTGCTTCGCTGCTTGGTTGGTTTCCCCCCCCCGTTTGCTTCTTCCTCTGCCTTCTGGTGCTTTGGGGAATAATTTGAACCCCTTTTCTCTGGGGCAGCCCCTCAGATAATGGAAGACTGCTATCGTGTCACTCTTAGTCCTGGTACAAAATAACAGAGTCGGAAGGGGACCCTGGAGGTCAACTAGTCCAGTGGTCGCCAACCAGTGGGCCGGGAACCACTGGTGGTCCGTGAAAATTTTTTGGGTGGTCCGCAGAGAAATGTCGCCTCACCAAAGCAATTAATCCTGGCTGCGCGGGAGCACAAGGCTGCGCCGCCCATATGGCCCGCGGGAACACAAGGCTTGCGTCGCTTGCATTGTGTACAACACGAGGTAGGGAGGGGAGGGGGGAAAGGGCGGAGGGGGAGAACTTGCCCCACGAACCCCACGCATCTGGCCTGGCCACCGGGCTGCTTCTTTCCGCTTCTTTCTTCTTCTGCTTTTGGCTGCACGCAAGGAAAGCAGCAGAAGTCTTTCTTTCTCTCCCCCAAACTCTGCCAGAAATGAGTCTTTGGGACCCTGCAAGGCCTCCTGCTCCAAGAGGCTGCGCCTGCAAAGACTCGTTTCTGGCGGAGTTTGGGGGAGAGAAAGAAAGACTTCTGCGGCTTCTGCTGCTTTCCTTGCATGAAGCCAAAAGTCTCTCCCTTTCTCTCTCTCTTTCCCCCTGAGAACGGAGCTGGAGATGGGATCCTGTGATCCCAAATAAAGAACGATCGATCGGTAGGAAAACGGGGTGGGGAATTTTCCTGCAGACTTTTGGGGGGATTTTCCCAGGGTCTCTGGTCCGCGGGATTTAAAATTATGAGCTTGGGCGGTCCCTGAGGTCCAAAAGGTTAGTGACCCCTGTTCTAGTCCAACCCTCTATTCAAGCTGTTCTCATGTCACCCCTGGTCCTTCTTTTCATTAAATTAAACTTTCCCAAATCCCCACAAACCGCCCTTCGTCGGTTTTACTCTCCTCTCCACATCTGGAAGCTGGCTTATAGGGGAAATAGCTACTTTATGTGGGCTTATTTGTCAGAAGAATGCGCAGCTCAGCCTCGTAACGGCCCCTTTTAAAACGCTTTTGCGTTTACAAGGGATAAGGCAATAAACTTTGAATTAGGGGAAAGGGCTTTTAATTAGTTCCTGGTGCAGTTAAGTTCTGGGAGCTGGGGGGGATGGGGGCTGAGAATTTCCTGTCTCCCATTCTCCCGCCTGCTTTTCCAAGCCAGAACAAAATGTAAATTAAAACCAGGTTATTTGAAAATTGCAGGACTGTCGGGAGTCGAACAGCTGTACAGTAGCAAAGAGGAGTTGTTAAAAGACAAAGTGTGTGTGTGTGTGTTTAAGTGTGTAAAATGAGATTTAAAGACACTGTGCAAAACAAGGGCTGGATGAAACATCTTGGCAGTCCATTTTTTTCCGGAGCCCACCCTGTATGCCAAGAAGTCCGGAGAGATACGTGCTAGTCCTTTCCAGCTCCGGGGGGCACCGCTCTCGTCTCCGTTACAAAGCCGAAGAAGAGCCAGCGCTGTCCGGAGACGTCTCCGTGGTCATGTGGCCGGCAGGACTAAATGTCGAAGGCGCACAGACCTCTGTTCCCTTCCTACTAAAGGGGTCCCTATTTTTCTACTCGCATTTTTTACGTGCTTTCGAACTGCCAGGTTGGCAGGAGCCGGGACAAGGAACGGGAGCTCACCCAATGACGCAGCGCTAGGGATTCGAACTGCCGAATTGCCGACCTTTCCAATCGACAAGCTCAGCGTCTTAGCCCCTGAGCCACCGCGTCCCTTTGAGTTCTCGACTTACGACCGTTTATTTAGTGATTGTTCCAAGTTACCACAGCCCTGGGAAAAAAAGAGTTTTTTTCAAGCTTAGGACTGTTGGAGCAGCCCCCGGGTCACGTGAATGAAATTCGGACGCTTGGCGGCTGACTCGTATTTATGACGGTCGTGGTTTTTCAGGTCATGTGTGTGTGTGTCACACGATCCCCTTTTGCGATCTTCCACTGAGCAAAGCCATCGAGGAAGCTGGATTCGCATTCACAACCGGGCTACTGGCTTAACAATGTCAGCGATCCACTTAACGATGGTGGCAAGAAAGGGGTGTGTGTGAAAGGGAGCCATCGAGCCCAAATTTTCTGTCGTTGAGTGACACTTTTTCTTGAGTGAATTTTTGTCCCGTTTTGCAACCTTTCTCGCTACCATTATGAAGTGAATCCCCACAATGAATTAGTTAGTAACCCGGTCGTTAAGCGAATCTGGGCTTCTCCCATCAACTTTGCTTGTCCCTAAGGTCACAAAAGCGGACAGCGTGACCCCGGGGATGCTGCAACCGTCATAAATACGGGTCAGTTGCCAAGCGTCTGAATTACCTCAACGCTCCCCAACCTCCTTACTACTGTCCGATTCCGCTGTCAGGTGGGCCACAACATTAACCACTGCCTTGCTTAACCAGTTTTGGGGCTCAGTTGTAGTCATAAGTGGAGGACTTCCTGTAAATCCACCTTCTTGAAATGTTTAGAAATGGAGCCTGCCGTCTCGGATTTGGAGCGGCGAGTGAAATTCTGCAAAATCCGGCATTTCGGGTTCTGAGTTGTTCTCTCTCTCTCTCTCTCTCTCTCTCTCTCTCTCAAACCCCTCCCCAAATTCCAGGCACCCCTTCCCCCGGGTCTTCAGCTCCTGCAGCCGCAGTCAGTTGGAGGGCTACTTCCAGAAGGGAGGAGGCGTCTGCCTTTTCAACCTGCCGGACACCAAAGACCTGGTAGTGGGGAAGAAATGCGGCAACGGATTTTTGGAGGAAGGAGAGGAATGTGACTGTGGGGAGGCCGAGGTAGGCTGGGTGTTGGGGTGTTGGGTGGCATTAGGAAGCAAGGCGGGGGGTAGTGAAGACCTGGGATGGGAGATGGCAAGACTGTCCCCCGCAGGGTTAGAGTCTGATGGTGAGACTGGGAGAGGGTTAAAACCCAAAGATCTGACGGAGAAAATTGGTTTAGGGGTTAAGGTGCTGGCT